CCGGGAAAAGGGGAGGGCGCATTTCGGGGTAGCTCTCCGGTTATCCTTCCCCCTAACCGAGCGAAGAAGCCGGAAGGGAAAAAAGAAAAAAAAGGAGACGCAAGTCACAGGTAACTTTTCCTTTTCTGAAGGCCTTTTGCACACGCCATTGTGGCGTGTGGGGAGCGAAAGACCGGCTTTGAGGGTCTTTGTTCCCCCTTTCGCAGCAGAGATGCCACGTGGTCCCTCCCACCCCCCATTTTGCTCATCTGTGAAATGGGGACACACAAATCTCACTTGAAATGTTGCTGTCAAGTTTAAGGGCAAAAAAGTGTTGGCAGTGCCAGGTACCCAGAGAGTGCTCGGTACATCCTGCCTCTGTCACTGCACCTTCCCCCCGGTCTTACCTTTCCCGGGGACTTGCTGGATTAGGCCTCTCAGTGTGTGCAGGACTGTCTGGCCCCAGATCGCGCGCCCTACGTACTTTGGTGACAGAGGTGCCCCTCCACGTACCGTTTCCTGGACTCTAGCACGGCCTCCAGCGGGGACTCGACACCTTACTCACCAGGGAAATCGGGTGTCCAGGTTGGCGTGGAAGCCGCAGCAGTCACGTCTGTCTCTCTAGACGCCCTGCCCCGCGGCACCCACGCCTCCCGGGCCTTCCCGCGTCCGCGCCCTGGAGTTCGTTCTCTTGACCTTTTCGCTTTTCTGCCAAGGTTTGGGCTCCCCCGCTCGTTCCGCGGCAGGAATAAATGGATGGGAAATAGGGATATTTCTGAAAGGGAACGGGGCGGGAGAAGGAGCAGAGAGAAGAAGAAGAGAGAGAGTTGGACGAGGAGGCAGGAGGAAGACTTTCTGGAGTTGCCAAGCGTTGGGACAGTCGAATCAGTCCCCTTTGGGTCAACTCATGGCAGTGTTGCCACCGGCCTGTGTAGGACTGCAAGTTTCTACAAACCGTCTTCCACGCCTCGGTATTTCTGCAGAGATTCCCTCTTAGAGCTCCTTCCCCAGGTGAAATCAAAACAAGAGTTGGATCCACTTCTCACCCAACTGTCCTAAAAGGGAACTGCCTGGTATCGATGGCGAAGTCCTCGCGAGATAGTCGTCGTGCGTTATATTAATAAAGTAGTTTCTTTCCTCCCAACCCCCTCAAGGGAATTCGCATTTATAGAACACACAAATCTAGTTTCCGGAAGAAAATGCCAAAGTTGCAATTTGGAGTGAGAGTTAATGAAGTTGGATATTTTAAAAAAATCATTTCACGAAGAATTGTGTGCTAAATATTCGGTAGGACTCTCATATGGCGAGTAAAATCATTTATTTGTAGTTGGACAAATGAACAAAGATTCCCGCTTAAAAAAGTAAATTTAAAAAAAGCGGGGGAGGAATTTATATCCGAAGAGAGGGCTGGGGAACAGCCACTTTCTTCATTTACAAAACCCAGACAGGCTGTCCTTGTGGATCGAATTCCCCGGGCAATACTCCGGCTCTGTGTTTTGGGCTGCATAGACTCAGGCGCCGCGGGTGTGCGTCTGGAAAGTGGGGGTGAAGGTCGTAAGCGGGGTGTGTTCTGACGCGTCTGGATTCACCCCAGGGCCTCGCCGGTTAGGAACACAGCCCGGAAGGCAGTTTCTAAGGAAAACAGCCGAACCTCGGATCGGAAGGAGAGACTTGGCTCTCAGAACGCCTGGACCGGACGAGGCCAGGCAACCGGGCCTTGAAACCCACTAGGATGACATTGAACACATCGTCACCCTGGCTGTAGACATGACATGTAAACAGAAAAACAAAACAAAAACCCGGGGCGTTTATTTGAGAAGAGTGAGAAAAAAAAAAAGGAGGGAATACAGGGAAAAAGAATTTCCCCACCCAGAGTTTTATGTAAATAGATTGTCGCGAATAATTTTAATAGCGTTCCTTTTGGACTTTTCTCCAGCCGGGGGAGGGCCGGACCAAGCGCGCAGGCCGAGCCCGGGAAGCGCGCTCGGCAGCCCCGCGGGGTCGGGCTTCCCCGAGCCGCAGCTGCGCCGGCAGGGCCCCGCACGGCTCCGGGCGGGTTTTGTGTCGCAAGTTCAGAAACGAGGTTTGTTTGCGGGTAGCTGCAGGCGATGGGAGATGGGAGCGACACTCCGGGCGCAGCCGCCGCCGCCGCCGGCTTGGCGCGGGGTGCGGCCAGTCCGCCCCAAAACCTATACAGACATCACGAAGCCCAACTGGCTGGCCGAAACCCTATCCCGCTGGGCCCAAGGCCGCCCCTATCCCTGTCTGAGGAGCTTCATCCTGGCTAAAAAGGAACTTCCACGTCCGCGGCTGGTCACCCACGGACCCCCTAAGCGGCGCGGCCGCAGGGAGCGCGCCCCAGCACCGAAGGCGAGGAGCGGTGCGGTCCCCACCCTGCCAAAGTTCCGGGGCCACGGCTCCCCCAAACTGCCTCCCAGCAGGGGCATCGCTGCCCCTGAACTTGTCTCTGGGGGTTGGCGGGGAGGGGGGCACCCACCGTGCGCGGCCGTCTGTCTGGGGCAGGCTGGGAGAAAGGAGCAATTCATTGGCTTCGTGACGGGCACACTTTGGGTGGCAGCTGTTAACCAGCGAGAAAAGTCGGCGTCCCCGACCCCGGCTTTGCCCTTTAACCCCAGCCTGAGGGGCAGACTGGCAGGCCCAGGCCCAGGCCCAGGCCCACTGCTGACTGGAGACCCAAGAGGGTGTGCTGCGCACCGTTCCGGGCAGCGTGGAGGCGCAGTGATCCAAGGTCCCATGGGGTGGGGGTGGGGGTGGGGGTCCACCGGGCTCATTTGCTCGCCTTGAAGGGCCCGCGGCTGTCCCACACTCTCCGCCAAGGAACCCAAAGCCTTGGTCCCGCTGAGCGCAGACCCCAGACGAGGAAGGGAGAAGGGGGGAGTTGCTGGAATTTCGGAGAGATTTATAAAGAGAAAGGGCTCCGGTGGAAGATTCCGGGTGGTTAGTTTTTGCAGGGACCGAAATTATCCGTAAAACCTGCACGTAACAGAGAGAATTGCCGAGTTGAAACGGGGCAGTAAATCTCATTCCCACAAATTTCTGCCCTACCCTCCCTCTCTCCTCTTTCTTTGGACACTCCTGGCTTACTTGGCTTTGACAACACACGCGCTCCCCTGCCCAACCGCCCCGAACGGCTTCTCCTGCCCCTACTGGTCCCACAGGGAGGACCGAGTCCGAGCCCGGGGGTCGGAGCACCACCGTCGACAGAACCTAGAGGCGAGGGCTTCACCTCCGCCCACCTCCCCAAACCAACGACCCCAGCCTCTCAACACTGGCCCTGTGCAGAGGGTCCGCGCCCCACCTCCGCATCGGTTTCCCAGCCAAGCGCGGCCGTAGAGACCCGCGCAGCCTGAGTGCGAGGCCGCGCGCACAGGGTGCGGTCGCGCTTTGGCCCCCGGGGGGAGGCGGAGGCGCGCACGGGTCCCTTTCTCGAGAGATCCGCGTTTCCTGGAAGTGCCAGCTTCCCGTCCGCCCGGGCCAACGAGTCGCAAGGCGCGGTGTCCTCTAGCGGCAAGCTCTCGCCGTCGACCTGTGAGCGCTCACCTACACCTAAGGGAGGTGGCGGCGAGTCAGTGGACGCCCCGATCTGCGTCCTAAGCCGGGGGAAAGTCCCCCGAATGCGGTCCAGGCTCTCGCCGGGGCCTCTCCGGAGCGCGGCCGGGAGGCCCGGGCGCACTCTCGGCCGAACTGCGAACAGCGGATTGTCGCCTCCACGGCAGATGGTCTTGGAGCACAGATTTGCATTCATTGTCTTCAAATCTGTTTTCGCGCTGGTGGTCTAGATTTCGGCAGCAGATCCACGCACGGACCACGATACAAAAGGAGGAGAAAAGAACACCCAGCCGGGAGGGTGTTTAATAGGCACCGCGAGCTGCCCGGCGGAGTTAAAAAGCCGTCTAGGGTTTCAGCTGCCTTGGTGGCACGGCCGCCGCCTCCCGGCCACCAGCCCGCGGCCGCCGCGCGCCCTGGGCAAAGTTTCCGCGACGCCCCCCGCCTCCCCGCTGCCGCGCCCCGGCCGGCTCCC